TTTGCATTAAAATTTAAATATTTCACTGCTATATTAAAAAAAAAACAATTAATTAAATATATAATGAGTATTAACTGTCATTGGCTGACATTTTGATTGAATAATAATAAAACAATTGTTGTTGACACATAACAGCAATAATTCAGGCAACAGGTGAATACAAATCAAAGTTCCCTTGATCTATATATTGTAATTATAGATTGTTCTATTAATTATAACAGGCTATGAGGAATCTTATGGGAGGTAATCAAACTAACCCAGCAGAAATAAAATGAAGTACTTCCAAAATAATAACATTAGTCAGCACTTCAAAAGTAGCATTAATTGAATACTTTTACCTTCTAAGGAAGTGATGTTTAAAGACTTCCGAAGAAGCGAAAGTAATTCTATTTTTTCAATGTTCAAGATATATTTTGATGAGATAAAAAAAAATGTTATATTTGGGCTTTTGTATTAAATATGTCTATTACCATAATTAATGCTAATATTATTTAAGTCAAATTAGTTGTATTCTATAATACTACAATTTCACTTCCGAATAACTATCAAAAAAAAGCATTAAAATTACTTCTTGAGAATGACTTCAGAAGTAGTGAATTTGGAATCAAATAAAAAGGACATCCTTCCTATGACAAGCTTGGGTTAAAATCACCACTTCTTCAGGTCTTTTTCAATACTTCCATGGAGCAAATTCTACTTCTTTTTCGCTTCTTTGAAAGTTCTTTTTTTGCTGGGAAGAGTCGCAATTTTAGAGATAATTCAATGAAATTTGATAATCGTATTATGTTTGACCTAAGAACGCTGCCTATATTGGTTGAAACTAAATACAACAATAAACTGAACAAAATCCGTGCTTAACTTTACGAAAAATAAAAAACATAACTTTTCGTAACATTTACGAACATTTCGTAAATATTACGAATTATTATTTAATCAAACCTTTTTCTAATTCTACGACAGAACGAAAGCTTTTCTTAGTATATGTATATTTTTCGTGTATATTAAGAAATATGTTTTATGTTAGAACATAACTACGAAAGTTTCAGAAATTTTTACGAAAGTTTTCGTATATGTTAGGTGTGGATTATTTTCAGTGTAGTCCAATAAAAGGCACCTTGTCTCTTACCTTAGCTTAGCTTTTATTCCAATTTAGTCATATTAATATTAATTGGAAACAGTGTTAATTTTTAATTAAAACCTAATTTCTTAATTACATTAATTATCTAGTTTTAAATATTTATCTTTTAGTTAAAAATAAAATGTCAACCTTTTTCTACGTAAAAAAAGAAATAAATAAACAAACCAGTTTCCTTATTGTTTTGTTTAAATACTTATAAACAAAAACAAACTTAATTTGATAATAATCAATTTTAGCTATTTTTTTTATAAATACTTGTAATTACTTATTAATAAATTCCTATTTATGAGTATTTTATTAATTTGCAAACAACAAACTAAAAAGTAAACATTAATAATTTTCTATAAATTTATAATGAATCATTTTCACCTAATGTGAATTGACAATAACACATATAAAATCGTTTTTATATACTAAGTATATTGAAAATGAACTTTGACCCTGCTGACATATTAATTAAAGGCACACGTTTTCGTTGAAATCGGAAGAGAATTCGTTTGTTGATTAAGGTTGTAATAATTGGAAATTGTTTAATTAAACATTTAGTCAATACAATGACAAAATTATTTTTAAGCTAGTCATGAAATCTATAGAACTCGAATCACATTTATGATTGTCTTATTGTAAGGAATATATCAGTTTTTTAAGATTATTTACACGGTCCTTGTCATCATGATAAGGTTTCAATAAACAAAAATTTTAAGTCTATCTTACATCAAGTTGTTATTTAATTTCATTATTACCAACGATAAATACTAAATTGAATTTTCGGGTCTTACTAAGGGGGCTAAAAGTCCATTTAGTATCTAATTCATATAGAATATGCCACGCCCACTAGATTGAGTACTTTCATGTCCTCAATATTTATATTTATACGAATATACTAAAGCAAAATTTGGTGACTTTAGCTGTTATAGTATTCCAGATATGAATGAATTTTGCTATTTATATAAGAGATGCCACGCCCACTATTGACACGAATCTCGAGTGATTAACGTGAACACCTGCCTTGACGTCCTTATTCCACGGTGGTATTTTTCTAGACTAGCGACTTCTATGAAGAACTCAGGTGGCAATTTTTGTACATGGCTGAGCCGATCCATGTACAAGAACTTTGCTGAAGAATTCGAGCTATCTAATCTCTTGCCATAGTTGCCCCGTTGCGGAATGACAGGCAGCATGGGATCAATCCCAATGCAAACCTCAACAAGGAAATAGCAATCACTGGTCTAAAGTCAATAGAAGAGGCGACAAACCCCAACATCAGGTGAAATCAATCTTCCGGTATACCAGAAGGTGACCACCCTTATGATGTCATGCAATATTGCATTAATGACCCATTCCAGTGCATTCCTTAACCTCTTAAAACGCGCGTAACCACACAACTGAGATGGCTCTGTTGATTCGGCAACAGCACCTATTTGGTAGTCCGAAATAACCAGCCAATAAATCAGAATCCCTCTGTATGTCAGATAATGTGACAAAGGATGTAGAAATTTCCAAAGTCAATTCGAACTCAATAATTACCCCGACAAGTTGAAACAATATGAATTCTGTTGAGATGGCAACAGCACCGACAACTTCCCTGAAGTAAAAGGTCTACTAAATCAGTACTAGTCTCCTGTAGGACAGAAGAATCTTTTCCCATCGTTCACCAATTACATCAGTTCCATTCTCAGACCATAAAGAACGATCTACGGAATGACAGGCAACTACCAAGTGTCAAGCTAAAAATTCCCCAACATATACTGGCGCCCACCTACACGAAGAGTAAGAGATACTCAACGGGTTCAGGAATTCAGCATAAGTTGCTCTGATCATTAACAGTTTATAGTCACGGCAGACTAGAGGTTTTGGTAGCACCTCTATACCCCGGGATTACAATACACCAAGATGGAGTTTTGCATCAAGGTAACATGCTCCGGGGAGGCCCACTATTGACAGTGAGTCCCTAACTGTTTATTACGATGTTATATTTTCCCAGATATACGAATTTTAGTATTTGATTAATATGACATATGCCATGCCCACTGATTCTAGACCGCCCAATTTTCCTTAGAGAATTCCTATTAATACATAAGTTACTAGTATAAACTTTGGTCACTGTAGCTTTTATAGTTTTCTAGATATGCGAATTTTAATATTTTATTAATATGGAGATGCCACGCCTATTATTTCTAGTCCATGAACCGTCTCTTATGAGACAATTACAATATTATATCTCTACGAAGTCTCAAAAATCTCTCCTTCCGCCAAGTAATTGCTTCCGGATCCAAGACGACGAATGGAGTTGGTGGTGGCATATACATTGAGGAATTTGATTTAAAAATCTCTTTCAGACTCAATGATGACTGCAGTATCCTTCAAGCTGAAATATCAGCGATAAAGAGGGTGTCGAACTGTCTAAGTTACTATCGGATATTTGACAGGGATATCAGAATTTATACCGTTAGCTGCTAATAAATCCCTAATTGGTGTGTTCTAGAATTGTCCATGAATGCCGGACGTATCTCAACGAGAAGGTGAGACATTCGAACATCGCCCTAATTTGAGTCAGGGGACACGGAAGTTCGTATGCTGACACCTTGGCAAGAGCTTAGTGGACTGGAAATAGATCAGTTCTGTGGTGTTCCTCTTCTTGTAATAAAGAGACAGATTATTGAAAACTGTTCCTCTATTGCTTATGACCAATGGTCGCGTGAACACACGTGCTCAATAGCTAGTTCGCTGTAGCCACGTAATCTTGAGGTCACGTTCTTTTACTCCATGACGATTAGACCAGGTTTTTCTCTTCAACAGTTTCCTCACATCTCCTCTCTTCCTTTTATATTTTCTCTCTTTTCTACTTTTCCCTATCGTTCATTTCTACTTACAGGTATTTTTACAAAGGGTTCAACTTGGACCCAAGTAAAGCTGCATTGTCTAACTGTGATAACATAACCTAACCTAAGGTATAAAGAGGCAGTACAGTTCTTTTGAAGCCGTTTAGAGATTATTTTTCTCAAATTTATACCAGATCTTTGGATCAATTTCGGGCCTGTTGTGCACTCCTTTACTAGTGTCTTTGGTGGGAATCGAACCCAGGCTGACTGAGTAGAATACTACGAACTAATCTAACGGAGGCACCTCGATGTAAATAATTTTCAGAATCAGAAAATAACTTAATAGTTTTTGTTTAGAATTTCTCATTATTACTAAGAAACTTTTCTCTCCGTAATTAACATTAATTACAAAGTTTATTTGAAAAATTTGCAATATGTAAAAAAGTTAACAAAATCTTTACTAAAAGTAGGTGGAACTTCCAATAAAATAATTAGCAATTTCACGCTTAAAACTTTAATAAATTTCTAAACAATTTCTAATGCAATTATTCATATTTTTCATTTATTACTTATAGTTAAAACATTATAATTACAATAAATTTTTATCTAAATATTAACACAAATCTATTAAATTAAATACTTATAATAGTTTATTTTTCCCGATTCATTTCAGATAAAAAGGTATTATTTATCCATATTATAATTAATACTATGTTTAATAAAACGCCAAACATGACGTTAATATATTGAATCCCTTCAAAAACGTTTAAATCAACTATAATGACGTAAAAAGTCGAAGCATAACAAATTTAAAATGAAAAATTAGAATAGAACGTTTGAAAAATATAGCAACAACTTAATATAATTAAAATAATAACAATTTATAAACAACAACAAAAAAAAGAAATCAACATAAAGTTATAGAAAGACAAAGCAGTAACAGTCACGCTTTTTACTTGATCTGCTGCTAAAGAAACATTCACCAGCAACTACTTACTGGCTATTGTTCAACTTTGATCTGATTGCAGTCGTTAATAATCATGGATTCCACGGACACTGGTTGCAGTTATTCTTTTGATAGTTATAAATCTCGCAGCGGTACTTCGCTGAATTATAGCAGTGATATAAATGCCATTAGCGTTGATTTGCCAGAACAATCAGATGATTTGATTTCTTCATATAATGGCTTTAAGTATTTACCACATTGGCCACCAGTTAGTTTGGAATTTCAAAATTTAACTTATAAAGTACACGATGTAAGCAAAGGTAAGTTTGAATACTTTTTTGCGATTAATGTAGAATAAAGTTAGAGAAGTAGAAGTAAAGAAGTTAAAGTGATATATTCGGCTATGCTGAATCTTAAATACCCTCCAACAGCAAGCTACTCTTTATTAAAACCCATTTAACTATCTAATTTTGACAAAATTTCTGTTTACGTAGTGAGGGTATTAACATTAATGCATATGTGGAACTAATTTTGATTAGATCCAATTTAGATTCGGTCCAGAAAACTTTATATTAATAAGCCAGTTCGAAATCATTTTAATAAAATGATTTATCTATACACATAACATATTCATGTCGAATTTTATCCGGATATAATCAATTAATAACGAATTAAGTGGTATTAAGTGATTTTCAGAAGTGAACCTTATATGGGAGCTAAGACAACTTCTGGACCGATCAGGCAAAAATTCCGTATAAAGTTTTAAATATACAACAACACATTTATGTCGAATTTTATTCCGATAACTTGATTGTCAATGTGCGTTTAAGTAATTTTCGGAAATGGCCCTTATATGGGAGTTGTGACCAATTATGGACCAATCAGGAAAAAATTTCGTATAATGATTTATATGCCTATCCGGAAAAATTTCGTAGAGTGGTAGACTAGACTATAGACTAGACTAGACTACAGACTAGACTACAGACTAGACTATAGACTAGACTATAGACTAGACTATAGACTAGACTATAGACTAGACTATAGACTAGACTATAGACTAGACTATAGACTAGACTATAGACTAGACTATAGACTAGATTATAGACTAGACTATAGACTAGACTATAGACTAGACTATAGACTAGACTATAGACTAGACTATAGACTAGACTATAGACTAGACTATAGACTAGACTATAGACTAGACTATAGACTAGACTATAGACTAGACTATAGAGACTATAGACTAGACTATAGACTAGACTATAGACTAGACTATAGACTAGACTATAGACTAGACTATAGACTAGACTATAGACTAGACTATAGACTAGACTATAGACTAGACTATAGACTAGACTATAGACTAGACTATAGACTAGACTATAGACTAGACTATAGACTAGACTATATAGACTATAGACTAGGACTATAGACTAGATATAGACTAGACTATAGACTAGACTACAGACTATAGACTAGACTATAGACTAGGACTATAGACTAGACTATAGACTAGACTATCAGACTAGACTATAGACTAGACTATAGACTTAGACTAAGACTAGACTATAGACAGACTATAGAACTAGGACTATAGACTCAGACTATAGACTAGATATAGACTAGGACTATAGACTAGACTATAGACTAGATATAGACTAGACTATAGACTAGGACTATAACTAGACTATAGACCTAGACTATAGACTAGACTATCGGACTAGACTATAGACTAGGCACTATAGACTAGGACTATTAGACTAGACTATCGACTAGTACTATCGACTAGACTACTAGACTATACTATAGACTAGACTATAGACTAGACTATAGCCTAGATTATAGACTAGACTATAGACTAGACTATAGACTAGACTATAGACTAGACTAGACTATAGACTAGACTATAGACTAGACTATAGACTAGACTATAGACTAGACTATAGACTAGACTATAGACTAGACTATAGACTAGACTATAGACTAGACTATAGACTAGACTATAGACTAGACTATCGACTAGACTATAGACTAGACTATAGACTAGACTATAGACTAGACTATAGACTAGATTATAGACTAGACTATAGACTAGACTATAGACTAGACTATAGACTAGACTATAGACTAGACTATAGACTAGACTATAGACTAGACTATAGACTAGACTAGACTATAGACTAGACTATAGACTAGACTAGACTATAGACTAGACTATAGACTAGACTAGACTATAGACTAGACTATAGACTAGACTATAGACTAGACTATAGACTAGACTATAGACTAGACTATAGACTAGACTATAGACTAGACTATAGACTAGACTAGACTATAGACTAGACTAGACTATAGACTAGACTATAGACTAGACTATAGACTAGACTATAGACTAGACTATCGACTAGACTATAGACTAGACTATAGACTAGACTATAGACTAGAGTATAGACTAGATTATAGACTATATAGACTAGACTATAGACTAGACTATAGACTAGACTATAGACTAGACTATAGACTAGACTATAGACTAGACTATAGACTAGACTATAGACTAGACTATAGACTAGACTATAAACTAGACTATAGACTAGACTATAGACTAGACTATAGACTAGACTATAGACTAGACTATAGACTAGACTATAGACTAGACTATAGACTAGACTATAGACTAGACTAGACTATAGACTAGACTATAGACTAGACTATAGACTAGACTATAGACTAGACTATAGACTAGACTATAGACTAGACTATAGACTAGACTATAGACTAGACTATAGACTAGACTATAGACTAGACTATAGACTAGACTATAGACTAGACTATAGACTAGACTATAGACTAGACTAGAGACTAGACTATAGACTAGACTATAGACTAGACTATAGACTAGACTATAGACTAGACTATAGACTAGACTATAGACTAGACTATAGACTAGACTATAGACTAGACTATAGACTAGACTATAGACTAGACTATAGACTAGACTATAGACTAGACTATAGACTAGACTATAGACTAGACTATAGACTAGACCATAGACTAGACTATAGACTAGACTATAGACTAGACTAGACTATAGACTATAGACTATAGACTAGACTAGACTATAGACTAGACTAGACTATAGACTAGACTATAGACTAGACTAGACTATAGACTAGACTATAGACTAGACTATAGACTAGACTATAGACTAGACTATAGACTAGACTATAGACTAGACTATAGACTAGACTATAGACTAGACTATAGACTAGACTAGACTATAGACTAGACTAGACTATAGACTAGACTATAGACTAGACTATAGACTAGACTAGACTATAGACTAGACTAGACTAGACTAGACTATGGACTAGACTAAAAATTGGATCAAAAATTGGATTGGATCATCAAATTAAGTTGAAAAATTTCAGTTCCTACAAAACTAACGTAATTTATACGAACTTTTGAGCCATTATTAAGCGTTAAAGACATTTTCTGAAGTGGACTCTATTAGACCGATCTTCATAAACTTTTGTATATAAATTGTGTTTCGTAAAGAAGCTGTTTATTCCGAATGTCGAATTTTTAAGTAACTAATGAGAGTTAAAGTAATTTTCTGAAGTGGTCTTTAAATGGGGGTAGGATCCATCTTCATCAAACTCGGTAGGAAGATTTCAGTTCCCATAAAACTTGTTTATGTCGAATTTCATAGATCTACTGCTATTTTTATGCCAGTAATGAGCATTAAGGTCATTTTCTGAAAGGGGCCTTATATGGACCGATCCTCCTAAAATTTTGTAGAAAGATTTTTGTTCATAGAAATATTGTTCATGTCGAATTTTACCGTTGTACTCGCAGTTTTGAGCCAGTAATAAGCGTTAAAGTCATTTTCTGAAGGGGACCTTATATGGGGAGTAGGGTAGTTTATGGGTCGATCCTCAAAAAAATTGATAGAGAGATTTTGACTTATGTGTTTTATTTATGTGTCTCAAATTTCAGTGACATATTTCTATTTTAAAGCCTGTAATGAGCGTTATAGTAATTTTCTGAATGGGACCTTACATGGGGGGTAGGGCCAATTATGGAATGATCCTCATAAAAGATTTTGGCTTATTTAAATTATTTATGTTGAGTTTCATCGCTATCCCAGTTAAAGCTGTTTTTCGAGGGTCCACTTGTAGGGGAGCTATCCGATAACGTGGACCGATATGGCCATTTTCAATACCAAACAAACCTTACCTGTAAGGAATATTTGTGGAAAATTTCAACACTTTACCTCTTTCCGTTCGGCCTCCATAGTGCTTTCAACAGGCAAACAGACATACGGACGGACAGACATGGCTAGATAGTCTTAAAATTTAATAAGGCCCCAGAATATATATGTATACTTTTGTGGGTCTATGACCAATATTTCGATGTATTAAAAAATATATATAAAAATATAAAAATAATTCTTTTCATTAATATCATGAGAATGTTTCATAACCCTAATACATACCTCTTGATCCTATAGTGGCTTCAACAAGCAGATTCAGACACAGTCATATCAGATCATTTTAGAATTCTACAACAGCAAGTATTATATCGGTTTTATGATATGTGAATATATCCTTTACAATTTTCAAAAATACTGACTTCTGTAATTACTGAAGTAATTGTTTAAACAGTTTTCATTTTATTAGGTGTAAGGTATCATATAGTCATACTCTATCGATTATAATTTCCTACTTATTTAGTTTTACAGATATTAAGTGATAATCTTACTAAAAGCTTTTAAATATATTATTATTGTTAAAACCAAATAGAAATTAATTAAGCAAACTCAAATACCCTACACAAATAAATATATTAAAACAAATATCAAATGAAATTGTTTTGATTGTTTGTGTTCAAAGACGATCTTAATATGCCTCTCCCATTGGTCCCTCATTATATAAATCTGTTTCCGTATGGGTCGCAAACCCTAGCAAAAACTCATTATATTCACTTTTTAGTGTAGGTTTTAATAAATTATATGTATTGTATGTTTGCAGTACGTAAGTAGTTCGTTACACTTGAGTAAATAATTAAGTGCACTTTGTACTATATACTTATACCCTAACTAAATAGTTTTTGACACACAAAATGTAGTAAATTTAGCATGAAATGTGTGTATGATAAACATTTATTTAAGCAAAATATCACATGTTAGCAACAATACTATTGTTTAAAAATAAATTAAAGTTATTATTTAATTTGTTGATATAGGAGATATAAGGAGAAATTGCTCCACCTTTAACTTAACGGGATTTTTTATTTATATAAAACGGACGGATAGTCGGGTATACGTAACTAGCATAACTAATATGGTAATGACTTACCCAACAACTTACTTTTCAATGACTACTACATAATGTTTGCATCACTTGCAAGGTTCTCAAAATTATTATCAAATAAAATCTTATTCGATCTTTTTAATCCTACAGGCATGAAAACAATTTTAAAAAATATTCATGGAGAATTTAAATCACACGAACTTACTGCCATAATGGGCCCCTCGGGGGCTGGGAAAACTACATTACTTAATCTTCTAGCAGGCTTTGGGTAAGTTTTTTCTATTTTAAAAATATAAAAATGTAAAACGCAATTTAATCATATCACTAATAAATGAAATTTGATCTTTTCCAGAGGCTACAGTTATAGCGGTGAAATAAATGTCAATCATACGCCACGTAATTTAAGATTATTTCGTAAAATGTCACGCTATATCATGCAAAATGATGTTATAGATCCTCATTTTACTGTCATGGAAGCCATGATATTTGCCGCTAACTTAAAGCTAGGAAATGATTTGACCAAACAACAAAAGCTAGAAGTAATCGAAGAGATACTTAATATGTTAAGATTACAAAATGCAGCCCATACCAAGGCGGTACGCTTGTCGGGCGGTGAACGTAAACGTTTGTGTATTGCTTTGGAATTGGTAAATAATCCACCGGTGGTATTTTTAGATGAACCAACTACGTAAGTTATTGAAATAATTATACAAAACTTGTGGTTAATTATTTTTTCTTTATTTTCTCATTAGAGGCCTAGATGATCTCTCTAGTACTCAATGTATACAATTACTACGTCGTCTGGCACATGCAGGACGTACAATTATCTGTTCGATTCATACCCCTCCAGCCAAGCTATTCGAAATGTTTGATAAAGTTTATATATTAACCGAAGGTGAATGTGTCTATCAAGGCAGTGTTGGTAATATAGTACCTTATTTGAAAGAAATTGGTCCCACCTGTCCGCTTACTTATAATCCAGCAGATTTTAGTAAGTAGTTGTTAATTATTTAATTATTGTATTTCAATTAAGACAAAACGTTTATTTAGTGTCAATGCCATTAGCAATATGATTTATTTTCTATCTCATATACATATGCACGTTGCTCTATATTGATCTATTGACATTTATCTGAATTATTTATAATGTGTTTCTACAAATTAATTACACATTTTCCATAATAATTAATTCAATTATTTTCACGATATAATAATTAGCAGTACATTCACATTTAATTTCTACTTTGATTTGGTTCTAAAAAACGTACGTTTTTTTTATATTAATTTGATATGATTACATTATAATTAATACTATAGTTTTCGCTAATTACTTTAGGAAGAATCTGTTTCAGACAATCAAAAAGTGGAAGACATATGGGCATATGTAGACAATTACAATTTTTAGTAATTAACTTAAAAAAAGAACGTGTGCTACTTACTTCAATTAAACTTTGGATCCAACATTTAATGATCACTATTATTGATTATTAATATTCTTAACAAATTTTCGACAATTAAAACTTAATAACTTCAAAATTACATACACATAATCATCAGGATTCGCACACAATTTTTTATAAATTCGAACTTATCGTCGAAATTTCATTTTCTAATATTAGAAATTAAGTTGGAAATTTGAAGCTGTTTAAATAACCTCTCGAAGAAATCTTGCACTTATATTTGAAAATTCGAAATCTTATAAGATTTTTAAATAATTTGCGAAGATTAGAAATGGACTTCGAAAATATCTAAGAAATTGTAAAACATTTTCGAAAATGCGAACTGAATTTCGAATGTTCTTTATCTTCGAAAGTTCGAAGTTTAGATCGATCAAGTTAGTAAGTTAGTTAGTTTAGTTAGCTAGTTAGTTAGTTAGTTAGTTAGTTCGTTTGTTAGTTAGTTAGTTAGTTAGTTAGTTAGTTAGTTTAGTTAGTTAGTTAGTTAGTTAGTTAGTTCGTTAGTTCGTTGTTCGTTAGTTAGTTAGTTCGTTAGTTCGTTAGTTTCGTTCGTTCGTTCGTTCTTCGTTCGTTCGTTCTTCGTTCGTTAGTTCGTTCGTTCGTTCGTTCGTTCGTTCGTTCGTTCGTTCGTTCGTTCGTTCGTTCGTTCGTTCGTTCGTTCGTTCGTTCGTTTCGTTCGTTCGTTCGTTCGTTCGTTCGTTCTTCGTTCGTTCGTTCGTTCGTTCGTTCGTTCGTTCGTTCGTTCGTTCGTTCGTTCGTTTCGTTCGTTCGTTCGTTCGTTCGTTCGTTCGTTCGTTCGTTCGTTCGTTCGTTCCTTCGTTTCGTTTCGTTAGTTCGTTCGTTCGTTCTTCGTTCGTTCGTTCGTTCGTTCGTTCGTTCGTTCGTTCGTTCGTTCGTTCGTTCGTTCGTTCGTTCGTTCGTTCGTTCGTTCGTTCGTTCGTTCGTTCGTTCGTTCGTTCGTTTGTTCGTCGTTCGTTCGTTCGTTCTTCGTTCGTTCGTTCGTTCGTTCGTTCGTTCGTTCGTTTCGTTCGTTCGTTCGTTCGTTCGTTCGTTCGTTCGTTCGTTCGTTCGTTCGTTCGTTCGTTCGTTCGTTCGTTCGTTCGTTCGTTCGTTCGTTCGTTCTTCGTTCGTTCGTTCGTTCGTTCGTTCGTTCGTTCGTTCGTTCGTTCGTTCGTTCGTTCGTTCGTTCGTTGTTCGTTCGTTCGTTCGTTTCGTTCGTTCGTTCGTTTCGTTTTCGTTCGTTCGTTTCGTTCGTTCGTTTCGTTCGTTCGTTTCTTCGTTCGTTCGTTCGTTCGTTCGTTCGTTCGTTCGTTTCGTTCGTTCGTTTCGTTCGTTCGTTTTCGTTTCGTTCGTTCTTCGTTCGTTCGTTCGTTCGTTTCGTTTTCTTCTCGTTCGTTCGTTCGTTCGTTCGTTCTTCGTTCGTTCGTTCGTTCGTTCGTTCGTTTCGTTCGTTCGTTTTCTTTCGTTTCGTTCGTTTCGTTTCGTTCGTTCGTTGTTCGTTCGTTCGTTCGTTCGTTTTCGTTCGTTCGTTCGTTTCGTTCGTTCGTTCGTTCGTTCGTTCGTTTCGTTCGTTCGTTCGTTCGTTCGTTCGTTCGTTCGTTCGTTCGTTCGTTCTTCGTTCGTTCGTTCGTTCGTTCGTTCGTTCGTTCGTTCGTTCGTTCGTTCGTTCTTCGTCGTTCGTTCGTTCGTTCGTTCGTTCGTTCGTTCGTTCGTTCGTTCGTTCGTTCGTTCGTTCGTCGTTCGTTCGTTTCGTTCGTTTTCGTTCGTTCGTTCGTTCGTTTCGTTCGTTCGTTCGTTCGTTTTCGTTCGTTCGTTCGTTCGTTCGTTCGTTCGTTCGTTCGTTCGTTCGTTCGTTCGTTCGTTCGTTCGTTCGTTCGTTCGTTCGTTCGTTCGTTCGTTCGTTCGTTCTTCGTTCGTTCGTTCGTTCGTTCGTTCGTTCGTTCGTTCGTTCGTTTTCGTTCGTTTTTTTCGTTCGTTCGTTCTTTCGTTCGTTCGTTGTTCGTTCGTTCGTTCGTTTCGTTCGTTCGTTTTTCGTTCGTTCGTCGTTGTTCGTCGGTCCCTCTCCCCCTCCCCCCCCCCCCTCTCCCTCCTTTCTCCCCGTTCGCCCTTCCCTCTCCCTGCCCCCCCCTCTTCCCCCCCTTTCTACCTACCCTTCACAATTTGCTACTTTAATCTCTCTGGCAAATGTCATATCGGTCCATAATGGATCCAAGCTTCGTATGAAGCCCTTCAAAAACTGACTTTAGTGCTCAGCAATTATTCGAGAATCCAAAAATCTTCATCAAAATTTAATGTGGATCGGGGCATAAATTATCCTATTCCTTATACAACAACTCTTTTAGAAAGATGTTTGTTCTATTCTATAACACTTACAACTATATTTTTCAAATCTCTCTAACCAAAAACAAAATCCTTTCATTTTTAGTCATTGAAGTAGCCTGTCGAGAATATGGTGACTATCACAAGAGTATGGTGAAAGCCATTGATAATGGAAAAATTTATCGCTGGCAACCAGAATCTGAATATAAACATCCGAAATCGATAACACCCACCAAATCTGATACAACCTCGGGTGCTTCCTCATTCGATGAAATCGAACAATTTGAAATGGATTTTGATGTGAAAAAATTCAAGTCAACAACTACATGGTGGATGCAATATAAACTATTAGTACACCGTATGATAGTAAAGATGTGGCGAGATAAATCCTATATAAAATTAAAATTCTATATGAATATTTGCCTTGGCCTCTTAGTAGGTGGTATATTTTTGGGTGTTGGAAATGATGCCACAAAAGCGTTATTTAATTTTGGTTTTGCTTTTACCATAGTAATTGGTTATTTGTATTTGCCACTGATGCCGGTGTTATTGCAATGTAAGCTCTTAGAATGAAAATAAAAAGGATTAATAATAAATATTTCTTTTTTTCCAGTTCCTACCGAAATGAAGTTATTAAAACGCGAACACTTTAATCAATGGTACGGTTTAAGTTCTTACTATATGGCCAGCATAACCTCGAAGTTTCCCTTCATGTTTGTTTTGGCTTTTATTTATCTATCCATGGTCTATGTTATGTCCAGTCAGCCATTGGAACTTTTTAGATTTGCCATGTTATTTTTAATAGCCATACTTACAGCCCAAATATCAGATAGTATGGGCATGGTTATAGCCTCCCGATTAAGTTTAGTGGTAAGTGCTTCTTTTAATTTCCTTAAAAATAGTTTTTATTATCTTTATATTTCTTTACAGAATGCCATGTTTATGGGTCCCGTTATGGCTTGTCCCTTAATTTTACTATCCTTTTTTGGCATGGGCTATGGCAGAGAAATTGAAATATCCGTTTTTATGAAATTCATTATGAAATTAAGTTATCTACGTCATGGCTTGGAGGGTCTAGTTGAAGCTCTCTATGGCTATGATCGTGCTGATACAATATGTCCACCCAGTGAAATGTTTTGCATGTACAAAAATGCTCAATTTCTGTTAACACTTTTGGGTTTTGAAGACATCAACTATTGGACTTCTGTAGCATATCTAGTTGTTTTTATATATTCTTTACTGTTGCGGGTTATATACTAATTAAACATCGTTTATCAGCTTCAGGGGGATCGAATCGTTTACTGCAGTATATTAGTCAAATGCTGGTTAAATACTTTAATTTTACTTCGTATAAATATTAACATTAAAAAATAATTTAATTTTTAAAGAATTTTGTATATATAAATTTTAATTTGTTATAAGTATGAAGGGAAAAATTGTATTATATATTTTAGTTAGCTCAAACATGAATAGGTTTTTAAACGAAAATGGTGATATTAGTTTAAGGATAATTTTTTACAGAAAATATTTTATTAATAAAGAATTAAAATATTAAATAATATGTTTTAATTTAAACTGCAAGAATGTATAATAACTAGTTTTGTCAAAAAATTATTCAATACTATAGACTAGTCTAGTCTATAGTCTTGTCTACAGTCTAGTCTATAGACTAATCTATAGTCTAGTCTATAGTCTAGTCTATAGTCTTGTCTATAGTCTAGTCTATAGACTAATCTATAGTCTAGTCTATAGTCTTGTCTATAGTCTAGTCTATAGTCTAGTCTATAGTCTAGTCTTTAGTCTAGTCTATAGTCTAGTCTATAGTCTAGTCTATAGTCTAGACTATAGTCTAGTCTATAGTCTAGTCTATAGTCTAGTCTATGGTCTAGTCTATAGTCTAGTCTATAGTCTAGTCTATAGTCTAGTCTATAGTCTAGTCTATAGTCTAGACTATAGTCTAGTCTATAGTCTAGTCTATAGTCTAGTCTATGGTCTAGTCTATATCTAGTCTAGTCTATAGTCTAGTCTATAGTCTAGTCTATAGTCTAGTCTATAGTCTAGTCTATAGTCTAGTCTATAGTCTAGTCTATAGTCTAGTCTATAGTCTAGTCTATAGTCTAGTCTATAGTCTAGTCTATAGTCTAGTCTATAGTCTAGTCTATAGTCTAGTCTATAGTCTAGTCTATAGTCTAGTCTATAGTCTAGTCTATAGTCTAGTCTATAGTCTAGTCTATATTCTAGTCTATAGTCTAGTCTATAGTCTAGTCTATAGTCTAGTCTATAGTCTAGTCTATAGTCTAGTCTATAGTCTAGTCTATAGTCTAATAATTTAATTTTTAAAGAATTTTGTATATATAAATTTTAATTTGTTATAAGTATGAAGGGAAAAATTGTATTATATATTTTAGTTAGCTCAAACATGAATAGGTTTTTAAACGAAAATGGTGATATTAGTTTAAGGATAATTTTTTACAGAAAATATTTTATTAATAAAGAATTAAAATATTAAATAATATGTTTTAATTAAACTGCAAGAATGTATAATAACTAGTTTTGGTCAAAAAATTATTCAATACTATAGACTAGTCTAGTCTATAGTCTTGTCTACAGTCTAGTCTATAGACTAATCTATAGTCTAGTCTATAGTCTAGTCTATAGTCTTGTCTATAGTCTAGTCTATAGACTAATCTATAGTCTAGTCTATAGTCTTGTCTATAGTCTAGTCTATAGTCTAGTCTATAGTCTAGTCTTTAGTCTAGTCTATAGTCTAGTCTATAGTCTAGTCTATAGTCTAGACTATAGTCTAGTCTATAGTCTAGTCTATAGTCTAGTCTATGGTCTAGTCTATAGTCTAGTCTATAGTCTAGTCTATAGTCTAGTCTATAGTCTAGTCTATAGTCTAGACTATAGTCTAGTCTATAGTCTAGTCTATAGTCTAGTCTATGGTCTAGTCTATAGTCTAGTCTATAGTCTAGTCTATAGTCTAGTCTATAGTCTAGTCTATAGTCTAGTCTATAGTCTAGTCTATAGTCTAGTCTATAGTCTAGTCTATAGTCTAGTCTATAGTCTAGTCTATAGTCTAGTCTATGGTCTAGTCTATAGTCTAGTCTATAGTCTAGTCTATAGTCTAGTCTAGTCTATAGTCTAGTCTATAGTCTAGTCTATAGTCTAGTCTATAGTCTAGTCTAGTCTAGTCTAGTAGTCTATAGTCTAGTCTATAGTCTAGTCTATAGTCTAGTCTATAGTCTAGTCTATAGTCTAGTCTATAGTCTAGTCTATAGTCTAGTCTATAGTCTAGTCTATAGTCTAGTCTATAGTCCTAGTCTATAGTCTAGTCTATAGTCTAGTCTATAGTCTAGTCTATAGTCTAGTCTATAGTCTAGTCTATAGTCTAGTCTATAGTCTAGTCTATAGTCTAGTCTATAGTCTAGTCTATAGTCTAGTCTATAGTCTAGTCTATAGTCTAGTCTATAGTCTAGTCTATAGTCTAGTCTATAGTCTAGTCTATAGTCTAGTCTATAGTCTAGTCTATAGTCTAGTCTATAGTCTAGTCTATAGTCTAGTCTATAGTCTAGTCTATAGTCTAGTCTATAGTCTAGTCTATAGTCTAGTCTATAGGTCTAGTCTATAGTCTAGTCTATAGTCTAGTCTATAGTCTAGTCTATAGTCTAGTCTATAGTCTAGTCTATAGTCTAGTCTATAGTCTAGTCTATAGTCTAGTCTAGTCTAGTCTAGTCTAGTCTATAGTCGAGTCATATTCTAGTCTATAGTCTAGTCTATAGTCTAGTCTATAGTCTAGTCTATAGTCTAGTCTATAGTCTAGTCTATAGTCTAGTCTATCTAGTCTATAGTCTATCTATAGTCTAGTCTATAGTCTGTCTAGTTAGTCTAGTGTATAGTCTAGTCTATGTCTAGTCTTAAAAACATTAAAAAACTTTTTTATTTATGAATCTTTATCAACTTCCCAGCGGTAAAAATATACATTATGTACTCGCTTATCTAAGTGATATTTCGTGGCAGTCAGTGGTGATGCTTTCACTTATTCTTCTACTTAGATTTAACATAAAAGTGTCCTAGGTTGCCACATCGATGTGCTCTCGCTTAGAATGTAAGCCACAATATCATTAGGACAAATTAAAATTTCACTTACATAATGTGTGGAGTTCTAAGCGAAGTTAATGAGACGCCTATAAACGCTTGCAAATAGTAATGTAATGTATGTAGATTACAATCCTATTTGCATTTGTCTTCCCTTTTTGTTATAGAAAAAATATATATTTTTTTATATTTATTTTAAAATTATGTAAGTTTATTTAAAAATAATTATCAAATAATAAACATGTATTATAGTTAATTCAATAAAAATATAATTAAACAATTTTAACGAAGATAAATGAAATTAATCTTAATTTTCTTTTGAAACTTTCGGCCATCTTCCTTACAGATCCTGTAAACAATCAGGAGGAAATTATCAGTATTAAAACTAGAATGTATGAAATAAATTTACACCAATTTTTAAATCCATTTCTGCCGTTTAGATCACCACAATTATTTTACATTTTTACAATAAAATAACTTTTTAACAAAACACAACTTCACTTACAAAAGATCAACTTTAAACTGATACAAAAAGATTCTTCTTTTCATGTAGTATACAAAAGAAAAATAAAACGGTACTTTAGGTTTTTTTTTAAGAAATAAAAACAAAAAACAAAATGAAAAAGGCAGCTAACTCTCTGCTTAAATCGTAATCTATGTTATAATTAAAGTGCATGATATGTTGGATTACGCATACATTGCACTCTAAGTACTTAGATTGCTCGCTTAGAACGTCATACTGATGTCATCGAATATTATCTAAGTACTTTGTTTCATTTACCGCTGGGTTGATCTGGTGCACACTGAGAGAACCAGGCGTATATATATATAATGGGATATACACGTATAGAGGAGGTATTGAACTGTAGCATAACGTTAAACTTAAATATTATCTTTTGTTCCCTAGGAGTTATGATCTATAAACTACTACCAAATTCTGTGACAGCTTAGGATGCATAGGATGCATAAAATCTGGACCGATTAGGATGTCGATTCATATTTGGCCATTTTTATATTTGTCAATTATGAATGTTAAAAGTAATTTTCAAAGGATCCCTATACTTGGATTCAAAATAAATTGTAATATATAAAGATTTATAAGATTCTTTATTAAATTATTTTCTTAATAGTATTTCTTTTGATTCAAAATTATTATCTTAAAAGAGATCTCTATTATAGCCTTTACTATTACTACATTTCTTAACTTAACATTAATTTGTTATTCTAACAATCGTTGGCTGTATGGCCTTTTTTATCCGGCACACATCACCATAACCAAATGGTCGCACTTTGCGAGTACTCAAATAGTAAATACCTCTCTTCGGTTGGGCCGGTTCTCCACCCATATAAACTTGAGCCGGACAATTTTTATTATCTGCACCACAATTACATTTCTGATTAATAATACTTTCGTAACTCTTACATTGTATAGCGCCAAATGCTCTTTCACGACTTATCGATTCAACAAAATAATATAAGGCACCAAAATGATCACAGGTAAAATCTGGTTCCATTACGGTGACATTCGGACAATGAGGTTGACCCAGACCCCAGTTGGGAAAGAAGGAAGCATGACCTAAATTAGCACTGCGAAAACCAAAAAGACCAGTATCAGTTTGTATAGATTCAACATATAGGGCATCTGAGGCTGTCAAACGCCAATTGTCATTGAGCACGGAGTGTATAGGTCCAGCTGTATCCAAGGCATATATAACACCATATTTTTCTGGTTTCAATAGTTTGCCCGCTATACCTGCTATATGACTACCATAACTATGGCCAATTAAGTACATATCTTTGAAAGGTACATTGGTGGTTTCATAAAGGAATCGAGTAAAATCGTTGAATTGTTTGGCAATTTGAAAAATTTCATTTACCACACGCACGTAGTTAATGTTCAAAGAATAATCACTCCAATCGACGAGTATGATATTAAAGTCTCCTTTTGCTAAATAGGCATCTTTAATGGCAGCACTGGAGCATGTTTTAGTTTGACCATTCCAACCGTGAAAGGAAATTCTGGAAATAAAAAGGAATTAATATATTTAAAGGAATTCCTTTAATGGGTAATTTATTACATATAGTGATAATGTTCACACCCTTTTAATTTCAAGAATAATTTTAATTTCCTTCATTTATCAATGAATTGTTTTAAACACGAAATTCTTTTGCAATTATGTATTTAAAACATCTTTATTACTATCCTTTCCTTTTAAAAAATATGTAAACACTTAAGTTTACAAAACAATTACTTTAAAATATGACTTAAGTAAAAACTATTTAATAAAAAATTAAAAAAACAAATTTAAGTTCATTGTCTTTTTAATATGAAATTCATTCGAAATTGTATTTAAAAAAGCGACACATTAAACGTCTTTAAAACTTGTAAAAAAAAAGTAAGTACAAGCAATTTTATTTAATTTAACAATTACCATGATTCACATGTAATAAAAATGCCATAAAAATGCCTAAACTGTAATATAAACACTTAAAAACTACATATTTCCTTAAACAATAATAACACTTTTTTTCCATAAACTTATACATACATTCATACCTTGTGGGCCACTTAGCATTAAAATTGGATTTTAATATTGAATCCTGTTGACCAGTGTATAACATTTGTTTTTCATATGGATTTTTTCGCGTATACAAATCAAAACGTAAGTCTTTATGACGTGGCCGCAAACTGGGATCCAACAGTTGACGAGCCTCTTTTGTAACTAAACCCGCTATAAATTCCACTGTTAAAGGTTCACAGTAGCCCAACTCGTTTTTAAAATAATTGCGGTTGTGCGCTTTAGGTTTGTACGGAAATATGATTTTGTATATGAAAAAATAAAAAAGAATAATTTATAAGGTACAATTATTGTAAATTAACTTAATGATCGCAAGATTTTTGTTTTTTTTTTTTTTTTTGTTAATAAAGTGTTATTATTTTTATTAGTTATTAACAGTGTTTAAAAAACTAGACTACAAGTAGCTGTAGTAACGAAAAATAACTACTTTTGTAGTTAGAAAATGTTCAAAAACTAGCAGCAAATCATTTACTATTACTACTGATACCTTTAGATTTTGGTAGCAGTATTTATAGATGTAGCAAAAAAATAAAAAGTTTGATAGCAGTAGTACAGTCATTAGTATTTAAATGTTTCAATGTAGCAGTTGAATACTTCAAATAGTAGCAGTAAATATTTTCCTGAAGTAGCAATAAACGATATTATATTTTTCAACAATAAAAAATTTGGTACCAATATTTTCCTGAAGTAGCAATAAACGATATTATATTTTTCAACAATAAAAATTTTGGTAGCAATGCTACATAAATTTTGGTAGCATAAAAAAATAAAAATTTTATTAAAATACGAAAAAAAATTATGACATTCAGAAAAAGGCACAAGTAGCGGGGAAAAATGCTAGGACTTCGATTCGTGGGCCTTCTGAAGACATATTTATATATTATGAAAGTTTCTCATTGCCTTTTCGCAAAAGATATTCAAGGAGGATTTTGTTTCCTCTACTAAAAGGATTCTTGCACATTTATCAAAGAATTATGAATCAAATTTTGTATGAAAATTTGCTTTATATAATTCTTATAAGTTCTAATGTATAATTATTAATGCAATTTCCTATAAGGCTATTTTACAAATCCTTCGACTGAAAATCTTCTAAAAAGCCTTTAACGGAAGACCTTTTTAAGTAAGCATGTAAAATTGAAACGATTTTGCAATGCGGCTGTATGTACTTGTGTCTATAGAAAAATGCCCTTAGTAAGGCCCCTATACTGAATCTTTTTCCCGTTGAGATATGTGTATTTGTTAGTTTATTTTTTTTTGTCGAAGTTTTTTGTTTTATTCTATTGCTACATCAATAATTTGGTAGCAATAGAACGATCAACTAGTAGCAAATATTTCTATTGCTACTTATCAAAAGTAGCAATAGAATTATTTATATTTTTAAGCTACTACTCCATTTGTAGTTTATGTTTTATTTAGAACTATTTCTACTGCTACTGTTTTATTACTACTGCTATATTTTGAGATTTACTTTTTTATAAGTAGCAAAAGTTTTAAAAACGTATGATTATAAAACAAAACAAATGCTACTGCTACAACTTCAGACAATTGTTTGGAGCAGTAGTTAAAGCAATAATATAATACTTGGTAGCAACGTAGTTTTTCTAACACTGGTTATTAATTATTGTTCTATAATTAAAATATGTTTTTTTTTTACATTTTTTCAATTAAGTTTTAATTAATAACTTGTGACAAATTTTATTTTAAAAGTAACGCAAATATTTGATTATAGACTTCTTTTAAATAATGTACATAATAATTAAATTTGTTTTAAGTGATATTTAGTAGTTTTTTCTTACACAGCTAATTCAAAACTCAAGACAGTAAATATTCATTTGATGAATGAAATTTAATATTTTGTTTTTAATTTTTAATAATAAAATAAATAAATTTTCTTCTCAATTTTTGTAAAATTTTTTTTCATAAAATTTTCAAATTATATTGTATAGTTTGTTTCAAAATAACAATTTCTTTAACAAAAAATGTTTGTTTCCTAAGTCTTTCTTATTATAAAGAACTTGTTATTCAAAGTAAACAAAGTATGTTGCTTGAGTCTTTCGATGTAAAATTAACTAACTAACTAACTACTAACTAACTAACTAACTAACTAACTAACTAACTAACTAACTAACTAACTACTAACTAACTACTAACTAACTAACTACTAACTAACTAACTAAAACTATACTAACTAACTAACTAACTAACTAACTACTAACTAACTAACTAACTAACTAATAACTAACTACTCTAACTAACTAACTAATAACTACCTAACTAACTAACTAACTAACTAACTAACTAAACTAAACTAACTACTAACTAACTAACTAACTACTAACTAACTAACTAACTAACTAACTAACTAACTAACTAACTAACTAACTTACTAACTAACAACTAACTAACTAACTAACTAACTAACTACTAACTAACTACTAACTAACTAACTAACTAACTACTACTAACTAACTAACTAACTAACTAACTAACTAACTACACTAACTAACTAACTAACTAACTAACTAACTAACTAACTAACTAACTAACTAACTAACTAACTAACTAACTAACTACTAACTAACTAACTAACTAACTACTAACTAACTAACTAACTAACTAACTAACTAACTAACTACTAACTAACTAACTAACTAACTAACTAACTACTAACTAACTAACTAACTAACTACTAACTAACTAACTAACTAACTAACTAACTAACTAACTAACTAACTAACTACTAACTAACTAACTAACTAACTAACTACTAACGAACTAACTAACTAACTAACTAACTAACTCTAACTAACTAACTAACTACTAACTAACTAACTAACTAACTAACTAACTAACTAACTAACTAACTAACTAACTAACTACTAACTAACTAACTAACTAACTACTACTCTAACTAACTAACTACTAACTAACTAACTAACTAACTAACTAACTAACTAACTAACTACTAACTAACTAACTAACTACTAACTAACTACTAACTAACTAACTACTAACTAACTAACTAACTAACTAACTAACTAACTAACTTACTACTAACTAACTAACTAACTAACTACACATGTACAGGATGAACATACATCAAATACGAAGAAATACACCTAGACCTCTATCGGGCCTGTTGTGCGCTACTTAACCAGTGCCTCAGGTAGGAATCGAACCCACCACCTCCGGTCTACCAGACTAGAACACTAACTACTAACCTACCGGAGGCCACTAACTAACTAAAATACAGTTTCCCAAAGCAAATGTTATGGTACTAAGTGCTAAAAAGGACAATATCCTGCGATATCCTTCGCAAATATTTAAAAAAATATTTCATCAAAAATGTTCATAATACTCCAACAAACGATGCACAGTGGGGTCGCTTAGATTCCATCAGTGGCCAAATTGTACTTTTTCACTTTTAAAAATTGAAAAAAAACATAAATATCTATAAAAAATTGCATTTTAAGAAGTCGTTAATAATTAAGTCTCTGGCTGTAAAGATGATTTAAAATAACACCTTTTCATACATAACAATGGTATATTTGGTATCGAAAAAGAAAATTTTAAGAAATTTTGTATTAAATGGTAGATTCGTACAAAAAATGGTATTAAATTAAATAAAAAAATTTCTTGAAAAATATATATAGAAACATAAACTTTGCTGCATCATCTAAAGGCCTATACAATAAAAATGGGAAAACTAATGCGTATTGAAACACAGAAATCTTGAAATGCTGCTTGAACACATTCACAAAATCATTACTTATGAAATGGATCCATTAGGGAAACCCGAAGCGTAAGAGATCCACACTAAATCAAATATGAATGTCGCTAAGATAATGCGTAATATATGGTGGACTAGAAACAGCTGAAATCTGACCAGATCCTTAGACATTTATATTCCATCATCACAACGGTTGCTGCTTGCATGTTGTATGTAAATAAAGTTTGTTGCTTGAGTCTTTTGTAGTAGACTTATCACACAAATAATGTTTGTGTCGTAAGTCTTCTGTTCTAAACACTAGAATTTAAACATAAAGAGTAGATCAGCAATTTATTATTAACAAATTGACGATTTCTTGATTGTAAATTATATGTCAGTAAAGTTTGTTGCTTAAGTCTTTTGTAGTAAAATTATCATTCAAATAATGTTTGTGTCGTAAGCCTTCCGTTCTAAAACCTAGAATTTAAACATAAAGAGTAGATCAGCAATTTATTATTAACAAATTGACGATTTCTTGATTGTAAATTGTATGACAGTAAAGTTTGTAAAAGTTTGTGTCGTAAGTCTTCAGTTTTAATTGGCTTATATTATGAATATATCAAGGGACTAGGAAATAGTTTAAACAATTGATTTTATTACTGAATGTTATCAAAAACAATAAAATGTTAAAACATATTTCAAACATTGTAGAGAGTTTTTTTAATTGTAGCCTTATTATAAGATATACAGTCGTTTGCTTCAAATAATCATTTCAAAATCATAGAAAACTAGAGCTGGAGCCAATTCACTGTTTTATCACTGGATGTGTTTTTAAAATATCAACTGCCGATTTTAGGTTTTTTTATTAAGATTTTAATAAAACAATTTTTTTTATAGAGAATTGAAATTGAGCAGATATTAATACTGTTTTCTCAACTATAGATCTTTTAGATTTTACATTAGGAATTTTTGTTTATTAAAAGTATCAATGACCATAGATTTTCTCAGTTTTATCAAAGTGATCTTCAATCTAATTCAAATTTGTCACATATTTTTTTACGGAAATCATTTATAATCATTTATAATCGAAGAAAGCATCCATAGAAATATTCACTACATATTAACATTTAATTTATTTTTCTTATAAAATTACTTTATTTATATTTATCTCACAAAACCAATTAAAAAATTTCTTCTTTCACATTTACCAACCATAACAATTCGTTATCACTATCAACACTGAAAGACACAAACTGAACAACATATTTTTATGATTTTTCATTTCGTTCGAACCGATCTCACGAATATCCTGCGTACAACTGAGCAAGACTATCGTCAAGAATAAAAATTTATAAGAACATTTCACTACGCACAAGACTAACTACTATAGTATTCCTTAAACAAATAAAAAACTGTTCAACAGAACAGTTTAAAAAACAAAAGCTTAATAATTACAATGATCATCATGTTGTCAAGAGTACTGTTAACAGAAATTTAAGTAAAATATTTTACTTTTTAATTCTCAATCCACGTCAGTGTTGCCAAAAATGGTTAAATTCTTTACAAAAAAAATACTGTTAAGAGCAATATACAAAAACCGCTAAACTTTTTACAAGAAATGACTAAAATGGTTAAAGAATTACTAAAAAGGCAAAAGAAATGGCTATTAGGTAACAGGTGCAGTTCTTTGTTATAGATTAAAGACGTAGGTCGTGATAATATATGCTTATTTTTCTGGGACTTTTAAATAAAATATGTATCAGGTCTCTGACGTAATAAATAATTATAAAATTCGAATATATGTAAATTAGAAGTAATATTCTGATTGCTAAATATAGCAAACCCTTTTAAAGCTTTTGAACTTTTTATAGCCCTTCGTAACAAGCGTGAATATATGCATGTAACTTGTAATTTCATTTAGACAATTTAATTGTGACTTTATAGAGTTTATATATTCACAGAATCTTTATAGCGAAGTCGATCAACATATCATCGGGATCCAAATAGTGAATATCAGATAAGTTTGAAATTAAAAAACAGAAAGATCGGCAGAATATTTTTATATGTAGTTAATTGATATATATCTACATACATATGTATGTACATATGTATATCAAAAGAAATATTAATATAATTTACATATTGTTTAGGAAAAATATAATAAAATAAAATTTAAATTTTTGTCATTTATATAACAAAACAATAAAAAAATAACAACCAACAACTTCATATATTGTTGTTGTTTTTTGTTTTAAACTCAATACACACCCTATATGAAACTGTATATTTTTACCGTTTTGTTTTTGCCAAATTTAACTGTTTCAAACAGTGAGGCACCATTTTTGTATATGTTCCTAAAAACGACAAAAATAACAGTCTAAATTGGCAACACTTGTTCACATCATCGCCAGTCACGTTCCACTTTGTGTTCTTACTACTTACACACATGCAACTATACAAATTTGTTTAATAAGTGCGTTCAACAGTTTTTTATTTTTGATGTATATTTACTTTATTTTAAATAAACATCCTCTTAAATCAGAGATTCGGTATGTGCTTCATATAGTAACCACAAAGACTACAGACCAGATCATAAACCAGACTATAGACTAGACTATAGACTAGACTATAGACTAACTATAGACTAGACTATACTAGACTATAGACTAGACTATAGACTAGACTATAGACTAGACATAGACTAGACTATAGACTAGACTATAGACTAGACTATAGACTACTATAGACTAGACTATAGACTAGACTATAGACTAGCTATAGACTAGACTATAGACTAGACTATAGACTAGACTATAGACTAGACTAGACTAGACTATAGACTAGACTATAGACTAGACTATAGACTAGACTATAGACTAGACTATAGACTAGACTATACTAGACTATAGACTAGACTATAGACTAGACTATAGACTAGACTAGAATCGACTATAGACTAGACTATAGGACTAGACTATAGACTAGACTATAGACTAGACTATAGACTAGACTATAGACGAACTATAGACTAGACTATAGACTAATAACTATAGACGAGACTATAGACTAGACTATAGAACTAGAACTATAGACTAGACTAATGACTAGACTATAGACCTAGACTATAGACCTAGACTATAGACTAGACTATAGACTAGACTATAGACTAGACTATAGACTAGACTATAGACTAGACTATAGACTAGATAATAGACTAGACTAGAGACTAAGACTAGATATAGCTAGACTATAGACTAGACTTAGACTAGACTATAGGACCTAGACTAGACTAGACTATAGACTAGATATAGACATCAGACTATAGACTAGGACTATAGACTAGACTATAGACTAGACTAATAGACTATAGACTAGACTATAGACTAGACTATAGACTAGACTAAGACTAGACTATAGACTAGACTATAAAGACTAGACTATAGACTAGACTATAGACTAGACTATAGACTAGACTATAGACTAGACTATAGACTAGACTAATGACTAAGACCTATGCTAGACTATAGACTAGACTATAGACTAGGACTATAGACTAGACTATAGACTAGACTATAGATGAAACTATAGACTAGACTATGACTACTAGACTCAGACTAGGACTACGACAGCTATAGACTAGGACTATAGACTAGGACTATAGACTAGACTATAGACTAGACTATAGACTAGACTATAGGACAGATAATAGAACTAGGACTATAGACTAGACTATAGACTAGACTATAGACTAGACTAGAGACTAGACTATAGGACTAGACTAGACTAGAATAGACTCGACATGACTAGACATAGACTAGGACTATAGGACCTAGACTATAGGACTAGACTGATAGACTAGACTATAGGACTAGACTATAGACTAGACTATAGACTAGACTATAGACTAGACTATAGACTAGATATAGACTAGATATAGACTAGGACTATCGACTAGACTGATAGACTAGACTAGACTAGACTCTAGACTAGACATAGAAGCTATGACTAGACTATAGACTAGCCTATAGACTAGACTATGACTAGATATGACTCGACTATAGACTAGACTGCTATAGACTAGACGATAGGACTTGAAATAGACTAGGACTATAGACTAGACTAGACTATAGACTAGACTATAGACTAGACTATAGACTAGACTATAGACTAGACTATAGACTAGACTATAGACTAGACTATAGACTACTATAGACTAGACTAGACTATAGACTAGACTAGACTAGACTATAGACTAGACTATAGACTAGACTATAGACTAGACTAGACTATAGACTAGACTATAGACTAGACTATAGACTAGACTAGACTATAGACTAGACTAGACTAGACTATAGAGACTATAGACTAGACTATAGACGACTAGACTAGACTAGACTATAGACTAGACTATAGACTAGACTATAGACTAGACTATAGACTAGACTATAGACTAGACTATAGACTAGACTATAGACTAGACTATAGACTAGACTATAGACTAGACTATAGACTAGACTATAGACTAGACTATAGACTAGACTATAGACTAGACTATAGACTAGACTATAGACTAGACTATAGACTAGACTATAGACTAGACTATAGACTAGACTATAGACTAGACTATAGACTAGACTATAGACTAGACTATAGACTAGACTATAGACTAGACTATAGACTAGACTATAGACTAGACTATAGACTAGACTATAGACTAGACTATAGACTGACTATAGACTAGACTATAGACTAGACTATAGACTAGACTAGACTAGACTATAGACTAGACTATAGACTAGACTATAGACTAGACTATAGACTACTATAGACTAGACTATAGACGAGACTATAGACTAGACTATAGACTAGACTATAGACTAGACTATAGACTAGACTATAGACTAGACTATAGACTAGACTATAGACTAGACATAGACTAGACTAGACTAGACTATAGACTAGACTATAGACTAGACTATAGACTAGACTATAGACTAGACTATAGACTAGACTATAGACTAGACTATAGACTAGACTATAGACTAGACTATAGACTAGACTATAGACTAGACTATAGACTAGACTATAGACTAGACTATAGACTAGACTATAGACTAGACTATAGACTAGACTATAGACTAGACTATAGACTAGACTATCTAGACTATAGACTAGACTATAGACTAGACTATAGACTAGACTATAGACTAGACTATAGACTAGACTATAGACTAGACTATAGACTAGACTATAGACTAGACTATAGACTAGACTATAGACTAGACTATAGACTAGACTATAGACTAGACTATAGACTAGACTATAGACTAGACTATAGACTAGACTATAGACTAGACTATAGACTAGACTATAGACTAGACTATAGACTAGACTATAGACTAGACTATAGACTAGACTATAGACTAGACTATAGACTAGACTATAGACTAGACTATAGACTAGACTATAGACTAGACTAGACTAGACTATAGACTAGACTATAGACTAGACTATAGACTATACTATAGACTAGACTATAGACTAGACTATAGACTAGACTATAGACTAGACTATAGACTAGACTATAGACTAGACTATAGACTAGACTATAGACTAGACTATAGACTAGACTATAGACTAGACTATAGACTAGACTATAGACTAGACTATAGACTAGACTATAGACTAGACTATAGACTAGACTATAGACTAGACTATAGACTAGACTATAGACTAGACTATAGACTAGACTATAGACTAGACTATAGACTAGACTATAGACTAGACTATAGACTAGACTATAGACTAGACTATAGACTAGACTATAGACTAGACTATAGACTAGACTATAGACTAGACTATAGACTAGACTATAGACTAGACTATAGACTAGACTATAGACTAGACTATAGACTAGACTATAGACTAGACTATAGACTAGACTATAGACTAGACTATAGACTAGACTATAGACTAGACTATAGACTAGACTATAGACTAGACTATAGACTAGACTATAGACTAGACTATAGACTAGACTATAGACTAGACTATAGACTAGACTATAGACTAGACTATAGACTAGACTATAGACTAGACTATAGACTAGACTATAGACTAGACAAGACTA